GCGGGTCAATTGCTTCCTCAATGGAAGCTCTATCTGTACCACCTTCAAGGCAATCAAGTCGAACTCCTACGTTCGGCTCTAGTTCTGAACGTTGTGATATTGGTTATACTACTAGCATTCCTTCTGTTAGTGGTCTAGACACTACCATAGATCTCGGTACTGTCTATATGACTGGTAATGTTGTCCGTACGCCTGCCTCTAGAGCTGTTTCTAAGAGCAAAGCTAACGACAAGTCTAAGTCTAAGATTGGTCGTCCTCGATCTGGAAGCTTGACCCTATCTAAACGCTCCATCGAGAGTGAAGACAACATCAACAATGAGGTCTTATCTGATGATGATCTACCTGTCGGTAGTGATCTAGAACCTGAAGTTCTCGACACGGCTACTGATGATGGTAATGTTAAGAAAGCTGTTTCTACCGACACATTAACTATGGTTGCTAATGGTCAAGGCAATTCTGAATCGTCTACTCAGATTGCCATGGTACAGGGTGGTCTACTACAGCAGTCTATACCTTTAACAGGACAAGCTGCTCAACTACCCGAAGGCGCTACCAATTTCAATTGGAGAATGGTGCCAGGTCCTGAAGGGCAACTCACTCTAGTTCCCTTCTCTATTGCTATGCCTTCTGACGGTCCAGCTCCACCTCTGTTGGGAGCTCTCAAGGCCCATTCTGGAGGGTCTCAACCCCGGTCATGCTCTAACGAAAAGTCATCGAGGCATTCTAAGCACTCGAGTTATGAGCCTCAAGATCCACATCGCTCTAATGGTTCTGGCGATCGATCTTCGAGGTGTACCAAGTCATCTAGACGTGAACATCACCACCGACGTCAAGAACCTAGTCCTGTTGTAGGACAGTCATATAGGCACAGTGCCTCTGATAGGCGATCTTCTCGCCATCTACGTAAGCATAGTCCACAAGATCACAACTCTACGGGTAAGAGATCTAATCTTTCTCGGAGACGTGCTGACGTCTCGACATCATCATAGGCGACATCTGTCAA